TTCGAAATTCAATTCCTGGTTTCACATCAGAAAGTCTTAGCCTGTGCGCTGTCCCCGCCCTTCTTACCCCTAAGAAGGATGGGTCGTGGAGAATGTGTGTTGATAGCCGTGCTATCAACAAAATCACAGTCAAGTACCGCTTTCATATCCCTCGTTTAGATGACATGCTTGACATGATGACTGGAGCCGCGCTCTTTTCGAAAATAGATCTTAAAAGTGGCTACCACCAGAATAGGATACGTCCAGGAGACGAATGGAAGACCGCATTTAAGACCAAAGATGGGTTGTACGAATTGACTGTAATGCCTTTTGGATTGAGTAACGCACCTAGCACTTTTATGAGAGTAATGACTCAGATCCTTAGGCCCTTCCTTGGAAAATTTGTTGTAGTATACTTCGATGATATCCTGATCTACAGTCGTTCGGTGGAGCAGCATTTGAATCATCTAAAACAAGTGTGAAATTTTGAAGGAGGAACAAATGTATGCCAATCCTAAGAAGTGCACTTACCTAACAAATCAAGTAACATTTCTTGGATTTATTATTTCTTCTCAAGGCATATCTGCTGACCCCGAAAAGGTGCGAGCGATAAATGAATGGCCTGAACCTAAGAATATTAAAGATGTCAGGAGTTTTCACGGACTAGCCACGTTTTATAGAAGATTTATCAGAAATTTTAGCACCATAGTGGGTCCCATAACTGATTGTTTGAAGAAAGGGGAATTTAACTGGACGACATCAGCCACCAAGGCTTTTGAGGAGATAAAACGAAAAATGGTTGAAGCACCAGTCATGCGTCTACCCGACTTTTCGAAAGTCTTTGAAGTAACTTGCAACGCATCTGGCATAGGAATAGGAGGAGTATTATCACAAGAAGGACACCCGGTTGCCTACTTCAGTGAGAAATTAAATGACATCAGGCAACGATACTCCACCTACGATAAGGAATTTTACGCCATAATTCAATCCCTCAGATACTGGAGACATTACCTGCTTCCCCAAGAATTTGTTATCTTTTCTGACAATGAAGCCTTACGATACATCAATTCACAGAAGAAACTGAATGCCCAACATGGAAGATGGGTTGAGTTCCTACAAGAAGACACTTACACCATTAGGCACAAAGCAGGTTCTGAAAACAAGGCTGCAGATGCACTAAGTCGTAGAATGATGGTTGCTCGTGAGATGAGAACGGAAGTGGTTGGTTTCGAGCAAATTAAAGAAAACTATTCTGACTGCCCCGATTTTGGAGAAACCTACTCTAAGCTAGCAACTCGTATCGTAGGAGATTTTATGTTAGAAGATGGATACTTGTTTAAAGCTCAAAGACTCTGTATTCCCAAGACTTCACTTCGAGAGTTTCTTGTTTGGGAGTTACATGCTGGAGGTTTAGCGGGTCACTTTGGATAAGCCAAGACCATCGCGGCTGTCGAAAATCACTTTTACTGGCCAAGTCTAAAAAGGGACGTTAGCAGACTTGTAAGGCGGTGTCACACCTGTCAGTTGGCCAAACAAAGGAAACAAAATACTGATCTTTACACACCTCTCCCCGTGCCTAGCCAACCTTGGCAGGACGTCAGCATGGACTTTGTTTTAGGTTTACCCAAGACCGTTAGGAAACATGACTCAGTCTGTGTAGTGGTAGATAGATTTTCTAAGATGGCCCATTTTCTCCCGTGCTCCAAAACTTTTGATGCCTCTAGAATAGCCAAGCTGTACTTTGATGAAATTGTGAGACTTCACGGGCTGCCTAAAACCATTGTGTCAGACCGAGATGTGAAATTTACAAGTTATTTTTTAAAGACATTATGGCATAAAATGGGGACCAAACTGCAATTTTCTACCACTTTTCACCCCCAAACAGACGATCAAACCGAAGTGGTGAACAGGAGTTTAGGAAATCTTTTAAGGGCCTTGGTAGGAGAAAACATTAGGGACTGGGACTCTAAGTTGCCTATAGCGGAATTTGCCTACAACAACTCTTTGAACCGAACTACGGGTCTAAGCCCTGCTGAAATAGTGTACGGATACCTCCCCAACCAACCCATTGACTTAATTCCCATGAGCACTAGAGTTAGGACATCTGAGTCAGCATCATCATTTGCATCGCATCTACAGGAGTTACATAAGAAAATTTAAAAGAAAATTGAACAAAGTAATGCAAATTATAAATTTATGGCTGACCATAAAAGAAAAGCTAAAGAATTTGAAATTGGAGACTTTGTAATGGTACGGATCCGTCCGGAGCGTTTTCCTCCAAGATCCGCAAAGAAGTTGCATGCGAGAAGCGCCAGACCGTTCAAGATAATTTCCAAGGTTAATAACAATGCTTATGTACTAGACCTTCCCAAAGGTTTTAACATTAATCCCACATTTAACATAGAAGATTTAGTAACCTTCGAGGGACCAGAATTTAAAGATGTCATGATGTATTTTATTATTATCTTATTTTATTTGCAGTTTTTCCATGTTTACCCCTGTGGGGAGTTACTTTGTTATTGTAGCCCAGAGGGCAATTTCGTATTTTCTCATTGTATGAGTTGAGACCTATATATAGTGGTCTCATGTATTATTTTGGGCTGAATGAATATTATGAATAAAAAGTTGTTTTGATCATCTTGTCTTCTTCTTCTTGTGGAGAGTTAGAGAGAAGAACGAGAGCCCAAGGTGTGGGCGAAAAGCAATACCCACCAGTCATTGGAAGAGTCCTTGGCTCGTGGTCTATCCCCAACATTCAACCCCCCTTCCTTCTCCCCAACCCGCCGGCCTTAGCTTCCCCTTAGCCGCCGGCCACCCCACCAACACCATCCGTCCGTGGACCTTTCAACCATCGACCTCATCTCCCATTCTCCTCGAATTCAAGTTTTAAAAATTCAAAATTTGAATTTCAAAATCTTTCCAATTTTGGAATTTCCAAATTAGGAAAGTTTTAAATCCGTTTTCATGACAAAATTCAAATTCAAATGGATTTTGTTTGAATCCTTCTTAAACCTCATGCACCCAATTTGGAAACCATCCACTTGCTCCCACACCAATTTCCCCCTCTAGAAGCCACCGGCCACATGCTTGGGTGGAGCCCCATTAATGCCCCATTAAGGCATTGATTCCTCTTGAATTAAGAATTAACTCCAAATAATTTTCCCTCCTAATTTACTTAAAACTGAAATCAAATTTCAGTTTTAAGTTTTCAAACCTCCTCCCTCCCTCTATTGACCGTCGGCCCCTTCATTGGCTTCCCCTCATTAACTCCACTTAATGCCTTAATTGCTTGATTGAAAATTTCAAATTCAAGCCAATTTTCCCTCCAAACTTAATCAAAACTGAAATTACTTCAGATTTTGATTAATTCCCTAAGAGAAGTCATCTAAACCTAATTTGTTTTCAAGCCTTGTTCCTCTCTACACCCGCCGGCCACCCTTCTCCCCTGGAATCCCGCCGTCCCCCCGCCCCACCCTCTCTCTTCCCGTCTCTTGAATCAAGAGTCCAAGAGGGAACGAAGGCGACGTCTCCCATCTCTGTTTCAATGACGTATGGCGGATCCGGAGCTTGAGTGGGGTCTTGTGTTCAACGCCGACGGAAGCATCAACATCCTACGATCTCCGTGCTTCGACGTAGGATTTGAAGATGAAACCACCGTGGAAGAATATTTGGAGAGAGTCGTCCTGATCCTTGCAAGCATCATCGACCGACGATTTTCAAATTACAAGTGGAGTCTCGACGGCCACCTACGACATCCATCCCCACCGGCTACCTTTCCTCCGACGAAGTTCTTCGGCGCCTTCTCTCTAGTGGTGATATCCTTCATCATTTGGATCTTCTCTCTCCGCTAAAGCTTACTAATAGTTGAGTGAAACAGCCCTCAAGATGAAATTCTCATTGTTAAGCGTTGGATTTTTGTTACTTGTACTTTGCATCTAAATCTCTTGGAGTTTTGAATGAATTGCTTCGGTTAATTTCAATTGCATTTCTTTGGACCTAATAAAGTTGAAATTTTCAAATTCTTAACTCAATTCTATGTGCTAGCTTTAAATTTAAAAGGAGAAAAACTTTAATCTTTTTTTCTTCTTAAATTTCTTGAAATAACTCCTAGTGGTTTTCATCTCATATGGTTCACATCATTAAATCACCTTGTGTTTGAACACAAATAATGGATCATATATAGATATCCTTAATAACTTAAATATAAACACTATTAACTCATTTATTTTCTAGAATTCTTTATAGCACTTCTATTGAAACTTTATCATCTGCTTTCTCTAAGTTAATAAATATTATAAGTAGATCCTTCTTATTACTCTCTATACTTCTCCATCAAACCTCTAAACAAATATATAGCTTTCATAGTAGACCTACCCGACATGAATCCAAATTAATTTTGAGAAACATAAGTATACGCCGTAACTTATGCACAAATACTCTCCCATAATTTTATATATGACACATTAACTTAATTCCTCTATAATTCACACAGTCTTGCAAACCACCTTTATTCTTAAAAATAGGAATCAACACTTCTCCACATCTGAAATCTTTTTAGGTTTCAAAATAATATTTAAAAGTTTAGATAACCAAGAAATTCATTACTCAAAAATATTTCTATACTTTTGTTAGAATATCATCGAGTCCTACTAATTTTTAAATAAAAATAAATATCTCTATTTTCATTTGCAATACAAAGGTCACTAAAATCAATCTTATTTTCACAACCTTCATTGAAAATTTATCGAAATATCTCATCATCTTTTAGGAAAAGTACTTTTTGATCCTAATCCTTAATACACTTCACTTGAACTAAATATTTACTTCTCTCATCTTTTTATTTGGTTAACTTATACATAAATCTTTTTTGCTCTTTAATATCTAATATATTATATAAATCACTAAAAATTAAATGAAGAAACTACAGTATTAAAAATTCAAGACTTAACAAGTAAGCCAAAAAATTACATGAAAAATAGAGAATTTAATGTTGAATAAGAAAATAAATAGTAAGGGAGCACCTTATACTAACTGCTTTATTGCTGAAACCATTTCCTCGACCAATAAAGGTCTGACGAACCACAGTCATTGGCTGAAATACAAATCATGTATTTAAGTTAAAGTGGATGTTGCCAAAAAAAACCCTAAACTATCCATGAATATGTGCAAAGAAATAACAAAATGCAATGAGAAATAGAAAGATTAAATTTTCATTCCCTATCAACAATAAATGATTCTAACTTTTATATTTAGATAGATGATCTTATGAATCTCACATAATTACGCTTTTGAATCATCAAAGGCCGGCTAACGCGCTCCAATCCATTAATTATAAAGTATCTGAAAAGTAGTGAGTGTGAGTTATTAATCCAGAGGAAATAAAACATTTTTTGAAAAAAGATAATAATTTCAAATCAAACACAACAAGAAAACATCAATGAAACTAACATCAAATATCCACTAAAAAGTAATGGCTGGAGAATAGAGGATATCATATAAAGAAATTGCTATGAAAGAACAAGCTTTTGAGGCATAAAGCTTCACTATAGAACATCAAGACATTGATGTGTAATTGCTATCAAAAACAGCTTAATAGTAAACAATATAGAGTCCTTTTATTATAAAATGCATGTCATTCAGAAGAAGTAACACAAGCCATCACAACACGCCTTCGATCTCTTTACATAGAGTTAGATCTTAAGAAACTTTTTCATTGTCTATCATAAAGTGATTGCTAAAATCCAGGCCATCAAATTAATTACGTTTGTTTTGTCACCATCAAATAAATATTGAATAAAATCATACAATTTGAATGAATTTTCTTACCAAGAAAATATGAGGTATCTTGTATAATTTGCTTAATCCCGTTAATTTAGTATACGTGCATCAAATTTAGTAACTTCTTCAATAATTCTATTAATATTATCTCGCAAGTGAAAACAAAATTCCAAGATTTCCAATTCATGGATAATGAGACTAACATTAGTGGCCATATTCAAGATTATTAATAACAAGATAACTCATTTCATGGATAAAAATTTGAAGGGAGAGTACATCAAATTACTAAAATTATTATGCCATTGTGGTAAGAAAGAGAGTAAAATCGAATGAACAAAAGTGTAGGAAAGGAGGTGATGAGCCTTTAAAATGAACAAAAGTGTAGGGCAAGAGGTTATGAGCCTTTAGACTAACAAACATAAGTGCGGAAAATATACCAAAAGGCAGCTTTTGACCTCAGAGGAATCTCAATAAATAGGTTTTCGTTATTTTAAACTTATAAACAGTTTATTTAATTTTGAACATGTTGGCAATATCATTAAAACAAAAATGAAGTGTGAAAAAGTTGTTGGAGGTAATGATATTCCAATAGAGGTATGAAAATGCTTAGGAGACAAAGGAATTTCTTGGCTTACTAAACTTTTTAGTATTATTTTGAAGACTATGTCAAATGAGTGGAGAATGAGCGTGTTGATTCCTATTTTAAAGAATAAAGGTGATGCACAAAATTGTGAGAATTATAGAAGAATTAAGTTAATATGTCATACTTTAAAACTATGGGAGAGAGTTATGGAGTATAGGTTGCAACGTGACACTAAGATTTCTCAAAATCAATTTAGATTCATGCCATGTAGATCTACTATGAAAGTTATGCATTTATTGAGAGGTTTGATGGAGAAGTATACAGAGAATAAGAATGATATATATATATATATATATATATATTAATTGATTTAGAGAAAACATATGATAAAGTTCCAAGAGAAGTGCTATGGAGAGTTATACATAAGAAAGGGGTTAATAATGCTTATATTCAAGTCATTAAGAATATGCATGCAAGAGCTGTTATTTGTGTTAAAACACAATGTGCTTTGACTAAGTATTTTCCTATTTCAGTTGGATTACATCAAGGATCAGCCTTAAGCCCATATCTTTTTGATTTAGTCACAGATGTTCTCACTAGACATTTGCAAGAGATTATACCCTAGTGTATGCTTTTTGCTGATGATATTCTTCTTATTGATAAGACTAGAGGAGTTGAAGGTAAATTTGAATTATGGAGGTCAAACGTTAATTAACATTCTAAAGGCTTTCATTTGAGATATCTAAAATTGAATATATTGAGGGTAATTTTAGTAATAATTGATCTAGTGGGGGATTGTGACTTTGGGCGATCAAGTCATTAACAAGATTACACGTTTAGATGTTTTGGGTCTATTGGTCAGAGTGACGATGAAATAAACAAGGATATTATTAGTAGAATTCAAGTCGGATGGTTAAAGTGGAGGAATGCATCAGGCTTGTTGTGTGATAGAAAAGTCCCTCTCAAACTTAAGGGAATATTCTATAAGATGGTAGTGAGACCTGCAATGTCTTATGATGCAGAATGTTGGTCATTAAAAGAGAAGCATAATATTAAGTTAAGTGTTGCAGAGATGATGATGCTTAGGTGGATGAGTGGCTTTACTCTTAGAGACAGGATGCGAAAAGAGCATGTATGTGAAAAAGTTGAAATAGCTCCAGTGAAAGATAAGATTAGAGAGAGTCTCCTTCGATGATTTGGTCACATAAAACGACAGCCTTCCAATGACCCGGTTAGGAAAGTTGATGTATTAGATTTGACTTAAGTTAAAAAGGTATATGTAGATCTAAAAAGGCTTTGTTAGAAAATCTTAGAAATGATCTTTATTTATTAGATTTAGATGAGAATTTGACTTTTAACATGACACAATGGAGAAAAAGGATTCGTGTAGCAAGCCCCACATAGTGGGATAAAGGCTTGTTGTTGTTGTTGATGTTGGCAGCAATATCATTGTGTGAAAAAAAAAATTCTCTCATGAAGAATTTACTTAAACGAATAAAACAAAATAGAACCTTGCTTCTCATGTTTCTTATCAAGCTTTTTTGAGTTTGACAATTTTAATGACACCTATTTGTCTAATAAAACATTAAAAATCACTATGTACAGAAGCTACATCTTCCACACACACCTAAGTAACTCGACTAAAAATGTGTATATCACCTCTTCATAACCAAAATCTCTTGCCATGAACCATTTCTAGCTTCATATGGCTGAAATAAGCCCACACATAGGTCATATTATGTTCCAAGGAAAAGTGGCAAGTTTTAGGTAGCCTAAAGAAGGAATGGCATGATGCACTCATACAACATTTGTCAAGTTTTCTATTGCCTACTTCTACTTCCTTTAATGGTAGAATCAATTTTAAAGTGTTTCTAAAAATAGATATGAAAAAATCTAGTTCCATTAAAGCTAAAAAGTAGTTTTTATCAAATCAAATCAAATGGTAGACTAACCTCCCAAAAAAGTGTTTTATGCATTCTAAATGTTTATCTAATTAATTAACCTAAATATTTTACTTAGGTATATATTAATTAGATCAAGATATATTATCAAGATTGTATAAAATTAAATAATATTCATTTTGGTAATTCAATTAACTCATATCAATACCGCAACAAAATTTTAGCAGATAGACAACTTCTACAGCACTTTACATCAACATTCAATGATTCTGTAAGAAAATCATCTACATTGATAAAAAACATAAAATAGCACATCATAACACAACAAAAGACAAAAAATATTCATTACAAACGACTATAATTGAGAAGTTCTCATACATAAGCATGAAAATATAAATGTGCATACATTTATTCACAAGTTTGTAAGAAATAGAAATTGCATTGTTGTTATCTAGAAAAATTAACAAATAATAAACAATTTTTCAAAATGAAATGTCCTAAAGAGTAGACTTTCAACTTGAACCAGCATTGACAATATCAATAAATTATTCAAGAATAAGAAGCTACTTACCCGCCCACTTCACTTGCCTCCTCTTTATGGTGAACTAATTTCTGAGGCGCAAGTCCTCTTAAATGGCAAAGTTTTGACTGCAAAAGCAAATTTTGTAGCTATTAAATTATTGTAAATAAGTAAATAATAAATTATTTGGTTATTAAAAATTCCTGCCAGCTAATTCAATGAGAGATCAAAACACAACATTTTCAGCAAGATGCAAGCAATATGTATCTTAAATCTCACAATCATATTTTTGATGACTTTAAATCCCTACTATTTTGATAAAATTTGTTTAAAATCTGCTATTGGTTAAATCCACCATTCATGGGATTTAAGGATTTCCCCCAGAAAAATCATAAATCCTAAAATAAATAGCCAAACATTTTATTAGGATCAAGCAAGATTTAACCGTTATAATGCCAAATTACCAAACAGATTCACGTTTTAATCTTCTAAGTATTTAAAATAATATAAATCTTTCTAGTATTTACGAAATGCTACTTGTGCCAAACAGCTCCTTAAAGAGGGAAATCTAGAAAATCTAGGGAACATAAATAAGTCAGGCGACAATGCAAATACTAAAACATGATATACTGAAAAATAAATAGAGGCGGAACAAGACCATCAACATAATCGGCACATGCCCGAAGCTAATTTTCTGTCCTATGACGGCTCCTCCATCATACTGGAAGCCAACGTCTATTTTGAAGACAGCTCGATACGTGGACTTTGCTTGCCTGCACTGCTCCACAACCAACAGCAATAAATAAAGAATTGAGAATGACAATAATGAAGGGAAGAAAAGCCTAACCTCGGTGGGAAAGTTAGGTGCACCCAGGCGTCCACTCCTCGTAGGAGGATACAAGTAGGGCTTCTTCAAAAATAGTGAAAAGCGTTAAGGATCTAACTAAACCAATTATAAGAACGCTAACATGTGAAGAAAAGAGAAAACGAAAAAGAAGAAAGGATATTTTTTAGCTTCGACCCAGTTAGTGGGTCCACAATATGGATGGGTGTGATAGCCATGATAGCCTTCTCTAGCCCTTCGTCAAGGAAGTAATCAAAGGATTCGATGTGGTGCTTCACGAGCTCTTGGAGAGACGCGTAGGCGCTATTGTTCTTTGAATCCATCACAAACAGTAGAGACGGCGAGGTTTAGGCTTTAGCCGGAGACGGCGAGGGTTTGGGCTTTAAACGGAGACGGCGGGTTTAGGCGGTGGCGGCGAGACTTAAAACCCTACAGCACGAACAATGGCGGCACGCGCAGTCCGCTATCGATAAATTCTAAGATACTTTTGGTCTATTTATTTATAGTCAAATTTATAATTAATTTTTAAAAATAACTATTTTTAAATATTTTTAATCAATAACATACAATTTATCTATAAAATTATGTCATTAAAAATATTAAATAAAAATTCATATACACATATTAATTATATATTATATATTTTGGATATATCTATATACAAATTTGCATTTATGTTATATATAGAATTGTTGCGTCCTGGAGTATTCGCGACGGTAGAGAAATATTTAGTTTAACGTCTTAGCATTGTACGAAGATCCAGCACACAAACAGATAAGTAAGAGGTTGTAGCGTTCATAAGAGACAAACTTCAAATCAAATAGATTTTATCTTAAGTAACCTATTTTTGAGTTTGAGCTATTACTTTTAATAGAATTTATCTTAAGTAACCTTTTTCGGGAAAAAAAAATTTCACTGTGAGCTAAATGCGTTATTGCCGCCCACTGATTGCTACCAATTATGGCCACCATCGTCGCCACTAACGCCACCACCAACAACTGTCATTGCCACCTACTGAAGGTCACCATCGCCGGCCATCGTCACCTTGGATTGATGTAGCAAATGTACATCATATAGATTGCATTACATGGTAAGAGTTACATGTACAGGTTTGTAACTAACTTTTGAGGTTTCCAACTAACTTTTGCCTCGAGATTCGTGCCCGATCAAGCTAATTTTGTGATGACGTATCAAGAATCAACTTCAAATCAAATAGATTTTATCTTAAGTAATCTATCTTTGAGTTTGAGCATATTACTTTTAATAGAATTTATCTTAAGTAACCTTTTTCGGGAAAAAAAAATTCACTGTGAGCTAAATGCGTTATTGACGCCCACTGATTGCTACCAATTATGGCCACCATCGTCGCCACTAACGCCACCACCAACAACTGTCATTGCCACCTACTGAAGGTCACCATCGACGGCCATCGTCAGTATTCAACTTTAAATTGTATTCATTTTACTTCAAGTCAAACAAAAAAAGAATAATCACGCCATTCCCTTTACACCCATCCATGCAACTTGAATCATTTCAAATACACTATTATTTTTACTCTGCATTTCTTTTTCAACAAATCAAACAAACCCTAAATAAAATGTTTGCAAAACATTTGTTTGTCTAGTTAATAAAATTCCATGATCATGTTATTAATAACTAGTGACTTTCTGATAATGGGAGATTTAATTAGACTTAAATGAAATATAATTAAGAGAAAGAGAACTCAGGCATGTGTTGAACGTGTAAAATAGGTTTAGAAGTATTTGTCTTATAACTTAATGTATATATATATATATAAACTATATCATCAATTATGTAGATAAAAGATAAGTTATATCATAATGTAAGGTTGATCTTTTATTTTGATTACATTGCTTTAGCTTATAAAACCCTTGTGTTATAAAGGAGAACATTTATCCTTTGTTTGTGATTTTACTTGCAAAGTACTTGTTTTCCCTTCATACATTATCAGAGTTAATTCATATGATTATAAGGATTGTCCTACTCATGTTGACTTGCTCACAAAACATCATATGTTACAAGATAATGATATAAATTATATGGCATTGTGATAAAGCAAAACTATTTTTATAATTGATACACATGGTGTTATGAAAAAAATGAAGAAATATGCTTATAAACCTATTTGTTTATAATCATGACATGGTTAGCATAATAAGCACTCTAGTAATATGATGATGCCATATAACAATGGGTATATTGCAGGATTGTTGATTGCTGGACACGAGGCGAGGCATGCGAGTGTGACGCAGTGCGAGATGCATGTCAAATTTGATTTGTTTTTGGTTAACATGTTAACCCAAACACGAACCAACTTTTCAAACGGGTTAAGAATTAGAACTCAAATCGACCCATTTATTAAATGGGTCAACCCGAACCTAAATTTTTTTGGTCAGGTTCAAGTCCATTTTTTCGTGTCTATGTTATTTTATTGACACCCTATTTCTCTCCTCCTTTCTTCTCCAGCAAAGTTGGCTGAGAATGGATTTTCCAAAATGGGTTTAGATGTTTTCATTATTTAAAATTCACTAACTTGACCTAGCGCATGACACCCAACCTAGCAGAGCTCCAAAGAATCTTCTAAATTCTCCCAAAATATGTTAAATTGAAACCCATCATTGTAACATATGTGAAAACCTATTTTATGTCCAACAATCACTATAGGAAAACAACTCATTACCGGCAGAATTTTTTGCGGAAGAATTTCCGGCGGAGTTTCCAACGGATTATCAATTAAATTAATAAACTTAAATAAATAATTTTAATTTTAATATTTTGTGGGTTTTAATATAAATAACAAAATTTAACAATTTAAACAATTTTGCATGAACGGTGCATTGGTCAGACTAGCGCGCGCTCGTTTGAGTCGGGGGTTGCAGGTTCGAATCCAAGGGCAGGCAGGCTGTCTGGGCGTGAATTGTGCGGGAGAGGGCTCACCTGGGTGGCCCGCTAGGCGCAGTTTGCGGACCCGGACCGTGGGAGCGGGTTCACCTGCGCAGCCGTTGGGCGCGAGTAGTTGGCTCACCTGCGCGGGTTGCAAATCCGGACCGCGGAAGCGGGCTCGCCGGGGCGAACGGTTGCGGACCCGTGGGAGTGGGGATGCGGGTTTTGGAGCGGATGGGCGCAGGGTGCGAACCCGCTGGAGCAGCTCAAATAGGGCGCCCGGGTTGGTTTTTTTTTTTTTTTTTTTTTTTTTTTTTTTTTTGAAACTTTGGATTTTCAATTCTCTAATATGAACCTTGGTTCAATTAACAGTGGGTATACTGCAAGATTGTAGATTGCTGGACAAAGGGCTGAAGTTTTTTGTCAGAAAAAAAAAATTATGGTGAATTTTTTTTACGGCAAAGTTTTCCGACATTCAATTTACCGTCGATCACGTTTTGGTTAGAAATCCGTCAGAAAATCTCGAAATCCGCCGGAAACTTGAAAATTTTCCGCCGGAAATTCACAACTTTCCTGTAATGAATTCGAGAGCTCAAATCCACGGCGTTGCCAACCCTGGCGTCGAGGTGTCTTTTTTTTTTTCTTTTTTTTTTGAAACTTTGGATTTTCAATTCTCTAATATAAACCTTGGTTCAATTAACCTCCCCCCTCCCCAATAATCCTAAAACTTTTAATTACACATTTCATCAATTATTAGTGAATGTTTAATGTAATTAACTTTAATTACCTCCTAAGTTTCTAACAGCGGGTATCAAAGTTAAGTAAGAGCTCTAGATGGTTTGAGTTAAAGCTCTTAAGGTTTGTAATTATGAGGTGATAACCTCCCATCCAATACAACTAGGTCTGTTAACTATAGAAGTATATGATATTATCGATGAAAAATGAAATAGTTGATATGCAGGGTTAGCCTATCTTATAGGATCACAGTGTTGTATGTTGAAATGGATTGTTATGACTCGACTTACCCACATTACACCCTATGTTGATTGTAGTCTATTAGGACTCCTTAGACCATTTCAATTGGGCTATCTTGCCACAATATGTTATGATAATGATGGTTGATAGTTGATTGAATTCACTCATACCATAAGCATTGATTTAAGTACGAAATATAATGTAATATAATATGAAAAATGCTTGCCATCCTTGCTTTAATAGAATGTAATATCGCACACTACAGGAAAATCACCCAAAACCGGCAGTTTTTTCCGACGGTTTCGATAGTAACATCGGCGGTTTGCTCAACCGTCGGCAGCTTTTCGGCGGTTATCCAACCGCCGGAAAAAATGGCGTAGGAAACAATTTGCCGGCGGTTTTTTCCGGCTGCTTTAGTAGCCGACGGTCTTCCGGCGGCGTATATCGCCGGTTATTACCCGGCTTTGTGTCGACGGTTTCCCAGCCGTTGTGCCGCCGGTAATGTTACCGACGGCGCACCGGCGGTTACATCGGCCGGCGTTCATTAGATTAATCGCCGGCACGCGTCAGTACACCGCCGGTACGCACCGGCGGTTTCCCGGCGGTCCTAGCCGACGGTCGTACCGGTATTGGGTGTTTTTCCTGCGGCCATATAACCGCCGGTCAAGGCCGCCGGTATTGGGTGTTTCTCTTGTAGTGGCAAGATGACATGCTTTTATAATCCATGATGCAAATATAATATGACACTTCTCTCGTCTTGTTGTGCTAACATATGATTTATTATATTTTATAGCCAACAACATGAATAGTTGTGATTGCATAAAATGCTTTTCATGTTTGATTTAGAGTTAGTGACGGGTCAATTAACTCATCACATGTTATTAATATTTTAAGGCAAATCAAGCTTCATGGCATGGTTCAAAACTAATAAGCTAAGAAAATAATGGGTAAGCTTAGTATATTCTTAACTTTATGTTTAATTATGGTGTGACTTTGTATGTGTGGCAGAGTAAACTTTATTTTTGTATAGTAAAATTAAGTAATTACTAAATGATTATGATATGTATGCTTATAAAAAAGATTTGTACATGAGTTCTTTAAACTAGTTTTATATTTTAGAGTATTAGTTATGAATTAATTTAAATACTCTAAATTACTTTGGTGGATATAATTCATTGTAGATTTCTGTATCAAATATCTAGTCATTGCTTAAGAATGAATTTAAATTCCTTTGTCGAGGCTAGTTTGCAATTATCTTGCTGATGTTTTCTTAGATATTAAAGAATAAGGCATGTTGATAGGAGCCACAAGAGAGTCTTAGGATGCTTGTTAAACGGGAAGTTGGCAGTCTAATAAGATCAACTTGGCCCAATTTAGCAAATCCAGAGATTATTTGTACAAGAAATTTCATGATTTTGGCCTTGCCATGTTTATTTCCTTAAAATAAATTATTAATGCAAATCTAAGTTTAATTTATAGCTACTGGATTGGTAACTTTGTTATCTTAGTTCAGGGTCAAAGCAAATTTGATACAACAACAACAATAACGTCAAGCCTTTATCCCACTATGCGGGGTTGGCAACATGGATTCTT